ACTCCACAGATCATCTTTGCTCAAGTCCAAGGACATTTTCCTAATTGCAATGGATCTCTCCTTTGAATTAGACCTGGGAAATTTGAATTTGGCAATGACAAGTAAGCCTTGATTTTTGGAAGAATGCAGATTCCTTAGCATGGACTTGTTCTATTGAATATGTATTAGTATCTGTTTCTTCTCTGAGGCTGACATTGCCATGAGATCCCTTTTCGTTGCAGATGAGGAAAGTAGTCTATAGGGAAAAAAATAGAGACTTAATTTTGTTTAAAAAGGTGACATTTCTGCTCTGTAGATATTATAAACCTGAATTTCTCTGAAGGTTTATGCCAAAAGAGAAGTGTCATAAACTGTCTGTACTGAGCTCTATTTCACCATAAGTTCCTGAAGGAAAGGGAAGTGTCTTCACTTCATACCACTCCCGTACTTGGTACTTCCCAGACACAATGCATCTTTCAGTTCCCCAAACTGGACACATTTATTTCTGCTCAGAGTCATGGCTTTGCTCTGTCATCTGTCTTCTCAAGTCTGATTCTTATCATTCAGACGTCAGCTCAAATTTCATGTCAGTGAGACTCTCCTGATTGCTTAATCTAAAAATGCTGTTATTTATTATATTACCTATAATGTAATAAGTATTTTAATTCTCTGCAAAACATGGTCAATGTCATTTTTACATTTATTTATTAGCTTTGTTTCCCCATTAGAAAGTAAGTTCCATGAGGGCAGAGACTTTTTCTTGTTCACTTTGTATCCCCGATATCTAGGACAGTGCTTTGCACTTAAATAGCACTCCATAAATATATGTAAATAAATGAAAAATAAAACCCCAATAACTTTAGTGTATCATTTCTCTGTGTGTCTACTAGGCATATGAAATGATGTGAAGAAACCCCTGTAGTCAGGAAGGAATCTGCATTCCTTTAAACATTTTTAAATATTAGACACTTTTTTCATTTAAAAATTTTGATTTGTATGAAACTTTAAAATATTGAAAAGCGTGGGGGGGATGTACATATCACATCCTCTGTTAACACTTTGGTGTATTTCCTGCTAGTCTTCCCATTTCTATAGGTTTTAAATAATTATAGTCATATGATGTGCAGAATTTTTTATTGCAGTATAATTGACATGTAACATTAAATTAGTTTCAGGTATATAACATAATGATTTGATATTTGTATATATTGTGAAATGATCGCCAAAATAAGTTCCAGTTAACATCCATCACACACATAATTACAAACTTTTTCTTTTGTGATGAGGATTTTACTCTTAGTCACTTTCAAATATGCAATACAGTATTACTAAGCACAGCCACCATTTTTGTACATTACATCCCGTGTCTTATTTATTTTATAACTGGAAGTTTGTACCTTTTGACCACCTTCACCCATTTTGTTCCCCACACCTCTTGCAACCACCAATAAGTTGTCTGTATCTATGAACTTGCTTTTTTAAAAAATTTTTGTTAGTTTGTTTTGGTTTAGATTCCACATATAAGTAAGATCATATGGTATTTGTCTTTCTCTATTTTTCTCTGACTTATTTCACTTGGCATAATGACTTCAAGACACAGCCATGTTGTCACAAATGGCAAGAATTCCTTCTTCTTATAGCTGAATAACATTCCACTGTATATATGATATGTATATATATCATATGCATCACATTTTCTTTGTCCACTTATCTACTGATGGACACTTAGGTTCTTTCCATGGCTTGGTTATTGTAAATAATGCTGCAATGAACATGCGTGCATATATCTTTTTGAGTTAGTGTTTTTGTTTTCTTCAGATCAGTACCCAGAAGTGGGATTGCTGGATCACATAGTATTTCTATTTTTAATGATTTTTAATGTTTTGAGGGAGCTGCCATACTGTTTACCATACTAGCTATGCCAACTTAGATTTCTACCAACGGTGCACAAGGGTTCCTTTTTCTTCACATCCTTGCCAAAACTTGTTATTTCTTGTCTTAAAAAAATATCCTTAGCTGAGAATATGTTTACTGGTTTTAGAGAGAGTGGAAGGGAAAGGGAAAGAGAAAAGAGAAAGAAACATTAATGTGGGAGAGAAACATCAATTGATTGCCTCCCATACATGCTCTGATCAGGGATCAAACCCGCAACCTAAGCATATTCTCTGACCGGGAGTTGAACCTGCAACCTTTCGGTGTATGGGACAGCACTCCAACCAAATTTGCAACCTGACCAGGGCTATTTCTTGTCATTTTGATAATATGTAGTCTACTAAGTATAAGATGATATCTTATTGTGGTTTTGATTTGCATTTCCCTGATGATTAATGACATTGAGCATCTTTTCATGTAGCTGTTGGTTATCTGTATGTCTTCATCGGGCAAATATCTGTTCATATCTTCTACCCAGTTTTGTGAGTGTGTATGTGTATGTGTGTGTGTGTGTGTACCTGGATATATGAGAGTGTGTGTGTGTGTGTGTGTGTTTACCTGAGTATATACATATGGATATCTGAGTATATATATGGATATATAAATATATATGATAGTAATCAATTTTTTTGTCCTGGTTTAAAAATGTTTACACTAGCATCAGCGTTTTTATCTATGTTGCTATGAAATCTGTATGATCATTATTTTTAATGGCTGGATGATATTTCAGGAATGATGACCTTTTAAAAAATGTGATAAAATACATATAATATAAAATTTACCATCTTAACTATTTTTAAGTGTACAGTTCAGTAGCATTAAGTACATTCACATTGATACTTTTATCACTGCCGTCCATCCACTTTTTATCTTGCAAAACTGAAACTCTGTACCCATTAAACAATAACTTCTCTTCCCCTGGTAACCATACATTCTACTTTCCATTAGCTACAACTTCCTTACAGGCTTGGGGAGAATCTGATCATGGTCCAACTGTGCTTTCCTAGCTGTTGTTGGAAACAGATCAAGAATTAGGGGCATGTTCAAGATATATTTCTTACTATTTGAAGTATTTTAAGTTGCTGAACCTATTGCACTTGTCTTCACTGAATAATAGACCTTTTATGATAATTCTAAAAGGCAATAAAATGCAGTGGTCCCTCACACCAACAGCTGATACAGGAAGCCCTTAGGAAGTTTAGATGCCCTGGTTGGAGACTAGGGTTGGGGAGAAGGGTATTGGGGAGGTGGTTTGGGTATAGATAAAGAGTGTGAATGAGCTGACCCTACCCCTAACCAGATAAACTCTGCTTTTCTCTTTTTACATATTTTGATTTTATACAAGTTATAATTTGAAAAAAGATTATGAGGCAAAAAGAAAGGGGAGGAGGAAGAGGAAAAAAATAAAACTACTTGTTCAATCCCCACAGAGAAACAGTTTCTTCAAAAAGCATATGGTATTTCATCTGCTACAGAAGTTGTTCTAGTAAATTTTAAACCAAGCAGCAGAGCTACTCACGACCTAGGTTTTCACTACAGGTCTCTTTTAAAGATAACATCTTTGTGGGTGGTGTGGGTGGTATAGCTGATTCTCATGAGTGTCTGATTTCTCATTCAAATCAATTTTTCTGAGCCAGCAGTGGGAATTTATAGCAAGAACAAGGTATCACCTTCCCCTTGGGTGAGAGGAGACACACAGACTTAGGTTAGTGGTTGGCTGTCAGATTAAAGGGGAGGGAGAAGAACTAGTCATTGTAACCCTTAACTTGTAAAGAAGAACAGGCCCACTCAGCTGTGAATCTCTGATCTCTTTGTTTAATGCCATGTAATAGGTCTCTGTCAGCATGCAGACATACGAGTGACATGACAGAGGACATTCTGCAGATAAAAATTTTTGTCAGTGTTTTGACTGAAGGCATACTTATCAATTTTTTAAGTTATATGAATCTGGGCAGAGTAGTAAATATCCTCAGCATCTCAATGTCTACCAGTGTCCTGGAATGACGTCTGGATCCACGGTGAAGCCAGTGGAGAGTCCTAGTTCCTTGACCAGCCCCAGTGCAATGATTGTCCCCATTTCTGCCACTACAACAATGCCACATAGCAAGGCCACATCTTGGAACTTACTCGACAGAATTGCCCTACCCTAGAAATCGTGAACTCTGAAACTCTACTCTTTGCTTATGGAGTTGAAGGGCTTTTTTTATACATCAGGCAGTGGGAAGAGAGATGTAAATATTTTTGTAAGAATTTATAGTGGCTAGAGATAAGGTGGGTGGGATCAGGTGAAGAAGGCTCACTTCTAGGGTAGATGCAGAGTCTGTAAAGGTGAAGTGTTTGCTCCTTTGGATTGGTTGTGGAAAGTTCCTGTGAAAGCAAGGAGCAGAGGCTCCTCTGGTGGGGTGATGCCTGGCTAGTCTCTTTTAGTTAATGATGGAAATAGCCACCTGGAAGTTACCTCAAAGTTCCAACTTAAACTCAGGAATGTAAGCAGTCGTTTGTTGGTTTTGCCTTGAAGTTAACTGATTACTCCTTCTTGTCTCTTCCTTCTGCCCTCTGGACTCCTGTTATTTAATTTAGAACATCTCAAAATTTTCTCCTCATCAAAGGCCAAGGTCAGAATTGTTTCAGGTGTCATCAGCATAGGGTTTTTCTTTAGCCTTCTGAAGTGTGAGGGTTTTTTTTTTTTTTCTTAATTTTATTTATTTATTTTTTAGAGAAAGGGAGAAAAACATCAGTGTGTGGCTGCTTGTCGCGCCCCCAACCAGGGACCTGGCCTGTAATCCAGGCATGTGTCCTAGACTGCAATCGAACCAGCAACCCTTTGGTTTGCAGGCCAGCACTCAATCCACTGAGCCACACAAGCCAGGGCTGAAGTATGAGGTTTTTGACAAGGGTAAGGGTCAGGAGGATATAAGTATTGTACTCCAGGTTACAGTCAAGATATCATCCCTTAATTTTATGTTCTCAGGTTATGCTGGGAACCCATCCCATTTCCTTATCTCTGTATTTGAAATATCTCATTTTGACTGCATGTTTTTCTTGCTAATATTTGTTTATTTATTTTTGCTCCTATTTGAAGGTACAATCACTGGTTCGATGGAATGGCTTTGCTTCAATAGTTTAGGATGGAGAGGGGCACAGTGACATATAGGAGCAAGTTTTTACAGAGTGATATATATAAGGCCAACAGTGCTCATAGTCGAATTGTGATCTCAGAATTTGGCACACTGGCTCTTCCTCATCCATGCAGGAATATTTTTGAATGTTTCATGTCCAAGTTTGAGCTGCCTGGTAAGTGGCTATTAATGTGCATAGAATTTCCATGTGATACTGTTGATTATTTAAATTGCTATGATATATGACAACATATATAAATCTTGAAATATATTTTTTTTTGGTATGAGAGGATGCTTAAACTGCTTTCTTTCTCCTTTTGCAGTGTTTAAATAACTCTGATGTTTGGTTTCAGCAATAACTGACGATACCAATGTCAACTATGTGCGGTACAAGGGTGATTATTGTGTTAGTACTGAGACCAACTTTATGAATAAAGTGGACATTGAAACTCTGGAAAGGACAGAAAAGGTAAAATGTAGTTTTAAAAAATGAATAAAATAGGCCCCCAGATTTCTTTCCATTCAAAATAGTTTTCAGTATAGTAGATATCTGAATAAGAAATAGGAACCTTAACCAAACAAAAACAAAATTACTCATGGTGTACCCTCTGTCCTGATTAGAATGACCTGTGGGGTTGCTTTTCCATAATTCTAGACATCTTCCTTAGTCCTAATAATCTGAAGATTAGGGTAAAGGAAAAATACAATAGTACAGATCTACTTTGGCCAGCTCATGTGTTTGCTAGCTATAGGTAGAATTGGACTGAAAATTGTCTGGACCCATACTACTTTCGCTTAACACAGTAATTAAAAGTTAAATGAAATTTTGGACTAGAATTTTGATTTTAATTCTTATTCTTTTGAACTTTCCTGTGATCTTGGGCGGGGGGTGGGGGGGGGATTCACCCTTATTGGATAGTCATTTCTGTCCACTTTTTTGTTAGTGGTAGAGTTTTTGTTTTTCTATTTTTGGTCTTAGTTTTTTTTTTTAGTAGGAAAAATGATTTTTGATTTCTCAGAGGTGAGATATTAGGGCTTAGGTTGTAGTTTTCATATCTTATTTTAAAGGCACTTGACACATCTCTATTCTCTATGCATCTAAATAGAGATCTGCCCATGTAATATTTAAAAGTCTCTGATGGAATTGAATTTGCAGGTAGACTGGAGCAAATTCATTGCCGTGAATAGAGCCACTGCACATCCTCATTATGACCCAGATGGAACAGCATACAACATGGGGAACACCTATGGGCCACATGGTAAAGTGGGATGGAGGTATTTTTAAAAATAATTAGGAGTTTGCCCTGGTTGGGTGGCTCAGTTGGTTAGACCATCATCTCATACACCAAAAGGCTGTGGGTTCAATTCCTGTTCAGGGCACACATAACTAGGTTGCAGGTTCAATCCCCAGTCGGGGTATGTATAGGAGGCAACTGATTGGGTTTCTCTCACAGATGGCTGTATCTCTGTATCTCTCTCTCTTACACACTCTCTCTTTCTCCTCCTCCCTCCCCCTTCCCTTTCCCTCTTTCTAAAATCAATAAACATATCCTAGGGTGAGGATTTAAAAAATAATAACAATTAGGAGGTAACTATCTTCTTGGGGTTCCATTATGGTTTAGATGTAAACTTATGAAACTTCATTTGAAAGGTTCAGAAAAAAATCTCTGAAGTGGCATTACTGAACTTAAAGTATATAATTTATCTTTGAGTATGTGTCTTGTGGAGCTTTTGCACATATGCTTATCAGCTGATTTTTTAACCTTCTTAGCATAACTCACAATTATGTTCTATTGTGTTTTTTGGCTCATAAGCATTGTAGGGATTTTCAATATGTATTTCTCAAACTTGAATTTTTTAAGAAGTACCATATTGTAAGTTTAAGAAAGTTAGAATTCATCAGCAAAGATATAGGGAATATACATTGTCTATCACATGGGAATTTCTTTTTATAATCGAACAATAGATCCCAAGTTACAGTGCAGTTGCATTTACAACCACGTATATCACATCTCTTTCCTGGACATCCTTATACTTCTCCAACTGCGTACCAATCTGCTCCATAATATTCTAATAGCTAATAATGAAACCTAACATTTATTGAATGCCTAGTATGTGCTGTTAAGAATTTTTCAATATATTTTCTTTTCATTTTAAAAAATGTATAATCTTTATTATATTTTTTCTATTACCATTTAGTCCACTTATACCCACCCCTTAGCAATCACCACACTCTTGTCCATGAGTCCTTTTTCCTTTTTGCTCAGTCTCTAACCCCAAACCTCCCCCTGCCTCTAGCTGTCATCTGCACCCCATCTATGAGTCTGTCTCTGTTTTTCTTGTTAGTTCAATTTGTTCATGAGATTCCACATATGAGTGAAATCATATAGTATTTGTCTTTCTCTGACTGGCTTATTTCACTTAGCATAATGTTCTCTAGGTCCATCCATACTGCTGCAAAGGGTAAAATTTTCTTCTTTTTTACAAATGAATGGAATCCCATTGTGTAAATGTTCCATAGTTGTTTTATCCACTCATCTATTGATGGACACTTGGGCTGCTTCCATATCTTTGTGATTGTAAATAATGTTGCAATGAACATAGGGGTGCTTGTGTTTTTTCAAATTAGTTTTCAAATTATGTTTTTGGGTTCCTTTGGATGTATTTCCAGAAGTGGGATTGCTGGGTCAAAAGGCAGATACATTTTTAATTTTTTGAGGCATCTCCATATTGCTTTCCACAGTGGCTGCACAGATCTGCATCTACCACCAACAGTGCAAAAGGGTTCACCTTTTCCACATCCTCACCAGCCCTTGTTTTTTCATTTATTGATGATAGCCATTTTGACAGGTGTGAGGTGGTATCTCATTGTAGTTTTTATTTGCATTTCTCTGATGATTAGTGATGTTGAGCATCTTTTCATATGTCTATTGGCCATCTGCATGTCCTCTTTGGAGAAATGTCTATTCAGGTCCTTTGTCCATTTTTAAATTGGGTTGTTTGTTTTTTTGGTGTTGAGTTTTGTAGGTTCTTTATAAATTTTGGATCTGTGTATTTTCTCATTTAATCCTATAATACCTCTCTAAAAAAGGTACTGTTAGTACTCAATTTTACAGGCAAGGCCAGTAAACCTTGAGAAGGTTTAAAATACTTGGTTAGGCAAGCTTCTAAGTGTCTGAAACCAGACCTGGCACTAAGTCTGAACCACATACAAGGTCGCTATTAGCCACACTCTGTTAGACTACCTTAATAATTATTCATCTCTGGGTGTAGAAGACTCTCAGGACAGCAAATTCATGTTCCTATATCTGAGTACACATGTCTCTGTTTGAAAAGAATGTGTAAGTATTAGATCTTTCTGACTATCTTAACTGTCAATCAATCTTTCATCTATAACTTATAAAACTTTTATATAGGTTAATGTGTAATTTTGGTGAGTAATTGGCTTTGAGGGTTGTTCATCTCTACCTTTTCATATTTACACACGTGAGTGTGTATGAAAGAGGATACTGCAGGGTTGATTTTTACTGACTCCAATAGAGATGGCGTACGCAGTTCTCTCTTCTTTATTACTTGAACTCAGGTAGAGATGTATTCTTCAAAGATGTAATAGGAAACAGCAAACATCCTTTTAGGTAAAATGTTTCAGCAAGTGGGATAACTGACTCAGCAGTTTTTTTGTCCATCTTTCTGTTTTGAATAATATAAAAATCCAAGTGGATAATTTTGTAACTGGTTCATAATGAGAAATGCTGTTTCACCATTCTGAATTACATATTCTAAAATAGCTGTTAGATCAGTCCTTCTCTGCCTGTAGAATGTCTAAGAATTATCTGGAATGCTTCCTAGCAATGTAGATTATTGCACTTCATAGATTGTGGTTCAGTAGACCTGAAAAGGGGCCAAGAATTTAACAACTCCCTCACCCCTTGGTGCATTTTAATAAGGTCCTAGGTGATTTGGGGGTAAGTGGCTTCTGGATCTTTCAGAAACCCTACCACCAGCCACCAGAGGCTGTGTTTGTTACTCTGCCTCAATTTGCTGTTTATGAAGTCCTGAAGAGTCTCCCAGAGTTAGACTCATGGTATTGGGCAGGTCGCTCCTATGGGCAGTCCCCTGCTGGGTGTTTCCTGGGTGTCTGTCTCCCTCACTCATGCCATCATGTCTTACTGTAGAACAGTTCATTAACTAGTAGTGTTTGAATTTAGTGAATTGAGTAATTGTCAATTATCCAGTTGCCAAAACAGGAAATATCTTCTAATCTCAACTGAAACTAAATTTTTTCTTTTCTTTTCTTTTCTTTTCTTTCCTTTTTCCTCCTCCCTCCTTCCTTCCTCCCTTCCTTCCTCCCTTCCTCCCTTCCTCCCTTCCTCCCTTCCTTCCTTCCTTTCTTCTTAAATATTTGGTTCAATGAAGAGGTTTTGAACGGGAACTCCAATGCACATGTAGCTGCAGGGAGCTCAACAACCTAAGATGTGTTTGGGGGAAATTTAGAGATTCTCATTATAATAAAGTGCTTGCTAATAATTTCTAACTTTAGTAAGTAAAAGTCTTTTAATTGTTTTAGCTTTTCTATATATTTAAAAAGTCTTTTAAAAACTAACAAAAATACTCTAAAACATTAAACAATCCAACTAGTTTTTAGTAATATTGTAAAATATTCAGTTACTTAGTGATATAGTACTCTTGGAATGATGGAGCTTTTAGTTTTTTTATAACTCATCACTGTATAAAGCATGATATTTTACATATAATGGGCTCTGAAAACACATTTATATTCCCAACCTAGACCTCCTCAGTATTTTATGTTTACTTACTCACTCACTGTTTTTACTAGAATGTCTAACAGGCATTACAAAATTAACTTGTCTAAAACCAAACTCCCGATCATTCCCCTTACACTTTCCCTGTTTAAGGTATTTCCCACCTCAGTTGATGGTAACTTCCTCCTTTCAGTTGCTTAGGACAATAACTTGGGAATCATTCTTCACATCTCTGTCTCTCATAGCCACATCCAGTTGGTCAAAAAGTAATTATAGCAATGCCTTCAAAATATTTCTAAAATTCAACCTTACTTACTCTTGGCTAAGACTCTGCATTTGTTCATTTCTCCTCTCAGAAGGCATTTCTTCCAGATATCCTCGGGACTCTCTTCCTCGCCTCCTTCAGATCTTTACTCAAATGTCATCTTAGAAAAGCCTTCCACGCCTACCATATTTAACATTGTAAATAATAGCACCCATCTTTATGCACTTACTCTGGATCCCCATTGCCTGGTTTATTTTCCATTCTTATCATCACCTTATGTATTATATTTTTACTTATTGTATGATTTATTAGAACTTGAGCTTTATAAAAGAAGAGCCTTTTAAAAAATCTTATACACTGTTATATACAAGTGTCTAGGATATGGTACTTATGACACTTAGAAAAGTGCCTGGAATATAGTTAGCCCTCAATAAGTAGTTGTTGAATAAATGAGAACTGTATGGTTATCTTGTTCCAAAAGAAGCTTTTATGATTGCAAAAAACTCTGTTACCCTAGTTCTTTAGAACCTACATTGGCAATTCTAATACCAGGAAAAAAATTTAATATGACCTCAATATTTGCTCATTCATTGAATGATTTAACAAACATGTTGTTAGTAAATCCATCAATAGCTATTTATGGTGTACTTACTAAATGCTAGTCCTTGTTTGGTACTGAGGATGCAAAGATGAAGCAGAAAAATCTGCTCTTAAAAAGCCCTACTTGTTTATCTGCTTTTCCCAGTAGCAGATAAACAAGTAAGATAAACAAGTAGATAATTAATGGTGCAATGAGATAAGTGCTATGACTATTTGAGAAATAATTAGGGCATAAAGGAGGGGCAACAAATGACTGGGGTGGGGAAGACTCAGGGAAGGCCACTTGAGGAGTGGATGGATACCTGAGTTGATTCTTGAAGGAGCAATAACAGTCCGATGAATGATTGCATGAATAAATGCTGATGAGACAGGATGAAATGGGACCTAAAGCCATCCCAGGGATCCAGAGGACCATAGTGAAGGATTTGGACAGGGATGCCCATGAAGATTGCAGTTGTTGGGATTGAGGAGTGGGGAGAGGGACAAATAGAATGAAGGTATTCCTGGCTGCTATCTTATCTTTTCCTATGAAGTAGAGATTGAGTTCATCTTCAGGGAACAAGAGGATAACCATTTGAGAATATTAAAATATAATAAACTATTGGCGAATTACTTTGTGTGTGTTGTTTCAAAACCTAAGCTAATGACTTCCATAAAGCTTATGTATTTTTAATATCTAAGTATTTGAAATAACCTTTCATGAAATATGAGTGTCAGGCATAGTGTATAAATCTCTTAATTGCTTTTGACTAGTCCATAAATGCAAGAGTTATCTTTTATTCATAGAATATATGTAAAAACAGTTAAGATGAAATTTCCTATTTTCCAGGTTCTTGGTATTATATTATTTGGGTTCCTCCAGAGAAGGTGGATGTTGGGGATACAATCCAAGGAGCCCAGGTGGTATGTTCTATTGCTTCTGAAGAGCGTTTGAAACCTTCTTACTACCATAGCTTTGGTGAGTACAGAGATGAAGCAAATTGCAATGGGGCCTGCTAATGTCACTACAGCAGAGGGACTCACTTTGGCAAGTACTGTGTTAATACAGTTTATCAGAGTATGATGATAATGAGATCAAGGTTGCATTTTAATGCTAGTTACATTTATTCTATTTAGTAATATACTTTTTACCCTAGCCAACTTGCTGCTTGAAAACATAGTTATTTTAGTATAAGCAATTACTAAAAAATTAATTGACAACCACTAGAGTGAACCATATGTAAACTATGGACTTTGGGTGGTTATGATGTGTCAATGAAGGTTTATCAGTTATAAGAAATATAACACTCTGGTGCAGAATGTTGATAATGCAGAGGCTCTTCATGTATAAGGACAGAAGGTACATGGGAAATCTCTGCACTTTCCCCTCAATTTTATTGTGAATCTGAAACTGCTCTAGAAGGGTAAAGTCTTAATATAAAAAAAAGTTTGACCATAAAAAATTAATTGACAGGATTCAAAATTTCAGGTAACTTTAAAGACGACAAATAATCATGCATGAAAAGATCTTAACTATATTTTTGGGGAAATTCATACTCTAGATTGCTTCAGCTTTTTCTAAGAATATTTACCTTTTGCATTCCAAATCTTTATTACCAATCTGCTACTGGACACTTAACCCAGTATAAACAGCAAAAGGATTAAGGAATAAAGGTTCAGATCAGAGGAGAATCAAGATGGCGGAGGAGTGACTGGAAGTCACACTGACCGCCTCCGAGGACCAATTGGGAATTAAACTAAATTGTGGAGAAATCACCTGGAACAAAAAACTGAACAATAGCGAGAAAGGAGCCTTATTACCTCAGACAGACAGAAGAATCAGCTTTAGCACAATCTACCTGGTAAGGAGTGCAGTAGAAACTCACAAAGATGGGTTGGGTGCCCACAGGCATTAGCACCAGAAGGATATTGAAATGGCCAGTTGGATTCCCCTGAGAAGAGCAGGGTCTAAACCATAAGCAGGGATCTCCAGCCTATAGCACCAGATCCCAAAAAGTACAAAGATAACAGCCAGCTGTGAAAAGCACCAAGATTGCCTCTGCCAGAGACTTGCAGCTGGAGACTCAAAGAACCGCTTAAAGGGCCAATGCATAAATTTGCATTTGCGGCCACTTACCCTGATCTCTGGCAAAGGTGGAGGCAGAGTGGGCTAGAGACACCTGAGGAGAGACTGGAGACGGAGGCTTTGGGGAGAGAACTGAGGGAGTAGCCGGCGGAATCCTGGTGCTGACTCCTCCCCCATGTGGCAGCAGCCATCTTGCTCAGGCAGACCACTCCCCTGAGCGGCAGCAGTGTGAGAGCACCCAATAACCCCACCCCTAGGAGGGATTCTGCCCTTCCCTATGGTGTCTAAGCCAGCCTGCTGAGTGCAGAGTGACTAGATTAACCGCTGAAGGAGACAGCCACAGAGAGTAGATTCCTGGAAGTCTCGAACAGGCTGCCTAAGGTCAGACACGGTCAACAGCTGACATCATCAGAAGCAATCCAGAAAGAAAAAACAGTGGTCTCCTACCATAAACGTTCACACCACAAAGTCAGGAAACCAGGAAAGATCAATTTAAGAAGCAGAAGCAAAAAAGAAGTCTCACAAATAATGGGAAGACAAAGAAATACGCCCCACTCGAAGGGAAAGGAGGGATCCCCAGAAAGAAAATTAAATGAAACAGAGGCTAGTAAACTATCAGATATTGAGTTCAAAACAATGGTTCTAAGGAAGCTCAATGAGCTCGGTGAGCTCAGAGAGAATTACAAAAATCTACCCGGAAACTATGAGGAACTTAACGCAAACTATATCAACATGAAAAAGGACATAGAAACTATCAATAAGAGACAAGAGGAAATGAAGAATACAATTTCTGAATTGAAAAACACAGTAGAAGGAATCAGAAGCAGGCTAGATGAAGCAGGGGAATGAATCAGTGAGCTGGAGGATAAGGTAGAAAAAAGCTCCCAGAAAGAGCAAAAAAAATTTTAAAAAGACTCAAAAAGAATTAATAGGAATTTAGGATAATGTGGGACAACCTGAAACATAATAATATCTGTATAATAGGGATACGAGAAGGAGAAGAAAAGGAGGAAGGGATAGAGAACCTGTTTGAAAAACCAATGATGAAAAACTTCCCTAAGTGGAGGAGAGAAAAAGTCATGCAAGTCCAGGAAGCACAGAGGGTCCCATTCAAGAGGAACCCAATGAGGCCCACCCCAAGATACATCATCATTAAAATGGCAAATATCAAAGACAAAGAGAGAATCCTAAAGGTAGCAAGAGAGAAAGAGGTAGCAACATAAGGGAGCCCCGATGCGGCTAGCAGCTGACTTCTCAACAGAAACACTACAAGCCAGAAGGGAATGGCAAGAAATATTCCAAGTCATGAAAACCAAAGGGCTGCAACCAAGACTGTTCCACCCAGCAAGGCTCTCAATTAAAATGGAGGGTGAAATAAGGAGTTTCCCAGACAAAAGAAGATTAAAATAATACACCTCCATCAAACCAGCATTACAGAATATGCTAAAGGGACTGCTTTAAGAAGATGAAGAAAAAGAGTATATGAATACCCAGTTCCTTTCACAGTCACCAATATTTGATATTACCAATATTTTTAATACTTATTAATCATATTATGACAATGATGTGTTATTTTAACTGTTACTTTATTATTTGTTGAAACTAAACCTGTTTTTGTATATTTTTTGCCTATTTGTATTATTTTTAAAAAGCTTTAAATAACTTCTTGGTATTCTTTATCCATTTTTTTTTGATTAAATGTTTGTAGAATTTTTTCCCTAAAAAACAACTATTAACCTTTTTTTAGATGTGCTGCAAATACTTTCCTATTCTATTATTTAGAATAATTCTATTAAATTATCCTTTACCTTTTTTATATGTGCATTATTATATAGTCTTACATGTTTAATATAGTCATATTGCCAATATTTTACTTTATAGCTTCTGGGTTTGAATATGTTACTTCAGTGTAGGAAAAATATTATTTTGTATTTTCTCCTAAAACTCCTTAGATTTTACATATTTATTTTTAACTCACCTGAATATATTTTGTATAATATTTTGTGTGAAATAGGACTCTACATTTGTTTATTTCAAGTAATAGTGGTCCATGCACCTTATTTGTTGAATAAGCCTTATTTTCCTCATTGATTTGAAATATCATTTAATCATATATTACATTGTTAAACAGATAAGTACATTTGTTTCTAGAGTGCTCATTTTATTTTATTGATCTACTTTATTATTTCTGTGCTGGTGTCATTTGTTTTAATTGCTGAGACTTTATAATGGATTTAAATGTTTTAATATTTTATCATGGATTTTGACATTTAAAAAACAAATATAGATAAAATCAATATGCATTTAAAAATAAAGAAAGAAGGAACTCCTATGTTTTGCGACAACATGGATGGAACTGGAGAATATTACACTAAGTGAAATAAGTTGTTGAAAGACAAATACCATATGATCTCACCTATAAGTGTAATCCATTCAACAAAATAAATTAACTAACAAAATAAACCAGAGGCATGTAAACATGGAGTAGACAGAAAGTGACCAGAGGGGATAGGGAAGAGGACAATGGTGAAAAGAAGGAGAAGGGACTAGACAAAGAACATGTATGAATGACACACGGACATGAACAACAGAGTGGGAACTGACTGTGGGAGAGGGGGGTGAGGGGGATGGGTGAAGGAGGGCAAAGGGGGAAAATTGGGACAACTGTAATATAATGAACATGATTTAAAAATTAAAAACAACAGCATTTGATACTATTAACACTATAATTTTTAAAATTCTTTCTTATCTGGACCTCATAGAGCACAACCTTTATTGACTTTCTTTTTTTTCAAGTTAAATTCACCGGGGTGGCATTAGTTAATAAGATTATATAGGTTTCAAGTGTACATTTCTATGATAACATAAAAAAAAGATTCAGATCATAAATCACACTTTAATATTATATTTCTTCTCTTTGTTTCTAAACCAAAACAATTTTAAAATTAAAAATAAAAGGTAAAAAGCAAGTTGAGGGTACTGAACCAAAGTGTTCTAAGCAGTTCCCTTTTTCATGTAGGAACAGGAAACTCGTTTAACGAAACTGGGAAGCAGGGAAGTATTGTTTCTGGCTTGCCTGTGATTAGGTCAGCGGTACTGTGTGCGAGCATTCAGACAAGCCCCCATAACAGTCACATTTCCGACAACTCTAGTTTACCAAGTAACATGCTAATGTTTGCTGGAACTTTTTAGGAATGACAAAGAACTACATAATCTTCATTGAACAACCTTTAAAGATGAATCTGAGGACAATATCACTTCTAAAATTTGGTGAAAGGCCTTTTCTGATGGAATAAGCTGGGAACCCCAGTATAATACGCGGTTTCATATGGTGAATAAGTACACTGGACAGGTGGAGTATTTTAAGTATATTTATCATGAAAGTGATTGGAAACAAAGGCAAATTTTCATTTGATTTATTTTTATCTTCACTGGGTATTACTTGCATGACTCTTAATCAAGGATATTATCTTCCATAGGTAGGGCTAGCTACTTATTAATACAGTGGATTTACCTTATTAGAACATTGTAGGAAATGGCTACAATGTAGCCAATGTAGGAAATTAAAAGGGTAATTATCCTTTTAATTATATGAATCAATTAAAATGGCATCTACAAGCACTCTTAACATGTGTTTTTCTATATAATATTTGCAAAAGAGGATGTTCATGAAAAGGTCTTCCATAACCTTTGCAAGATGTTTGTTGTTTTTTTTTTTAAAGATTTTTATATGTTGATTGGTAGAGGGGTAGGGAGGGAGAGAGAAAAGGAGAGAAACATCAATGTGCCAGAGATCAATTGCCTGCCTCTCTCATGGCCCCAAAAGGGGGACTGGCCTGCAACCCAGGCACATACCTTCATTAGGAATTGAATCAGTGATCTTTTGGTTTGCAGTATGACACCCATCCCACTGAGCTACACCAGTCAGGGCAGCAACAATGCTTTAGTTAGTTGCTTCTACAACTTCTTGATATGTAAACATGATAATTATACTAAAGTCCAAAGCACATTGGCTAAATATCTTTCTATACCCCTGATTAATAGCAGTATGATATGTTTATTTTTCCCCTCTCTAAAGAGACAATGTCCTACATTTACTGTACTCCAATTTTATTACAAAAATTTGACTTTAATAATACATGCATTTTTCAAAGAATTACTTAAATTTATCATAAGTTACTTAATAGCAGTGTTTTCTATTTAACCATGTAGAATCTAGGAATTATTCAGCCTTCAAAACATTGGGGCATATTTCACGAGGACTTTTAAGTTAGTTGTAGCAATTGATTGGTTTATATTAAACAGCCCCAGTTTGTTGGTGGATACAAGATGAGGTGACTTAAGCAAGCAATGCTTAAATCAAAGTATATTTGCTTCTGCATTTCAAATTCCACTTTTTGCACTTACCTGGTCTGTCATGTAAGGGGGGCATGGGGAGGGGGGTGTCTTAATTTGAGCTTGGTGCATCTGTTCCCTAAAGGAAAAAAATGAAAATAAAATAAAATGTTTCTTTTTCATTGTTTGATTTTCCCCTGCAGCTTCTTCCAGGGATGTCCTACAGTAAACCTTTTGTTACTTTTCATCAAATCAATGCTTTTGAGGACCAGGGCTGTGTTGTAATTGATTTGTGCTGTCAAGATAATGGAAGAAACCTAGATGTTTACCAACTGCAGAACCTTAGGAAAGCTGGGAAAGGGCTTGCTCAGGTACACATCTCTGATTTGTCAGAAGTTGTCAAAATAATTTTTAACTAGCCAAGTCCTGGTTTTGGCTTTGGAATTAGCTGTTTCTGTTGCCCCTTTGGAAAATAAGGAGGGAGGATGGTTTTAAAGACACAGGCTTGTCATTTATTTAATACTTAAAAATAATATGAAGTACTTACCTAATATCTAATAAAAAGCACTTGTTTTGAAGCACATGTGATTAGCTGCTTATTACACTTGAACACTAATTTTTGTAAATTAAATTTACTGGAAGAAATAGCAAAGTGGATTATAACCTTAATTCTCTGATAAAGTATATTCATATAGCTGAAGGATTTCATTTTTTTCTGATATTGAATCCAAGGCAAAATTTTTTCCTGGGATTATAGAATATAAATTGTTTTTAACTATAGTTTTATTGTTAAATCTTTTGAAAACATTGTTTTTAAAGTTTACTTATACTTATTTATTTTATTATAACTATATGATAGGTCTTGATATCTGCAGTATGAGCCAATTAACTCATTTATTTTTTATGAGTGCCTAAGTTTTTCTTGGCGTTTTCATTTCCATAAATTGAGTATATCAATCTTTTCCTTTATGAGTAAAACATTGTATATCCTGTTTCAGACATTGTCCTATGATAAAGTCATGAAAATATTGTTTTATATTATCTTCTCAAAGAAGTTTTAATTCTAAAAAATTAAGTATCCATATATGTATTATTATTTTTGGACTCTATATTTTGTTTCAGTGGTATACTTGAACCAGTACCACATTGTTCTAATTACTATCATTGTATAAAAAAATCTTGATGTTTAGTAGATCAAGTCCTCCTAATTCTTTTTCTATAGTGAGTATCATGGTCATTCGTGGCCCTTTAGAATTTTGTATAAATTTTAGAGTCAGCTTGTTAGTTCACACACACATGTGCACACATGCACACACCAAAAACAATAAAACCTTTCAGATTTGAATGCATTTTTTGTTTGTTTGTTTTTCCTTATTTTACTGGACTTCAAGTACAGTGTTGAATGTAAGTGGCATCTTTATCTGGTTCTCAGTTTGACAGGAAAAATTTTCAACATTTTGCTGTTAAATATGCTATTTGCTGTAGATTAAAAAAAATGAATAGACTTTGTGTTATAGAGAAGTTTTAGGTTTAAAGGAAAATAAAGCAGAAAGTACAGAGAGTTCTCATATAATCCCTTCTCCCTTATCTCCCCAGTTTCTCCTATTATTAACATCTTGCCTTGGTGTGGTATGTTACAACTGATGAACCAATATTGATACTTTATTACTAAAGTGCATAGTTTAGAGTTCACTCTGTGTGTTGTACATTCTACAGGTTTTGACAAATGCATAATGTCTTGTATCCATCTTTATAGTATAATTTCACTACCCTAAAAATACCTCATTCCAACTCTTTTTAACTCTCTACCCACTTGAATCCTTGGCAACTACTAATCTTTTTACTGTCCCTATAGTTTTTCCTTTTCCAGAATGTCATATAGTTGGAATCATACAGTATGTAGCCTTTTCAGACTGGCCTCTTTTACCTAGCAACATGCATTTAAGGTTTCTCCATGTCTTTTAGTGGCTTCATAGCTCATTTCTTTTCATTGCTTAATAATATTCTAGTGTATATATGTACCACACTTTATTATCCATTCACCTACTGAAAGATGTCTTGGTTTATTTCAGTTTTTGGCAATTATGAATAAAACTGCTATGAACATTTGCATACAGTTTTCAGCTGTGTCTGTTTTGCTGTTAAACCTAGCTGCTAAGTTGTTAAACTCATTTCATTTTTCAGCTCCAAAATTTTGACTTGCTTTTCTTTTATAATTTCTAGTTCTCTGTTACAATTCTAAATTTAAAAGAATTTCCTTCAACATAGTCAGAATTATTAACGTCTAATAACTGTATTATTTGTGGCTTTGTTTCTATCATCTGTTGCTTATCTTTTTTTAAATCATACTCTCTTGCCTTTTCATGTGTTGGTTAATTTTTATCTTAAACAGAATATTGTGTTACAAAATTGTAGAAATATTTTGAGACCTAGGATGATGTAATTTTCCTTTAGAGAAGATTTTTATTTGCTTCTGGCAGATGGCTAGGGTACATTATCAATTCCATATATATAATTTTTAATTTAATTTTCAATTACACTTTCATTCAACACTTTTTCGTATAAGTTTCAAGAGTATGGCACAGCAGATAAACATTCATATAGGTTACAAATATTCCCTTCAATAATTGGTGCCCACCTGGCACCACAGTTATTACAATGTTGTTAACTATATTCTCCATGCTTCACCTTACATCCTCATGCATATTTTTTAACTACCAGTTAGTACTCCTTAATCCCATCACCTCTTTTAACCCCACACTCCCCTTTGGCCTCCACTGTTTTGTTCTCTGTGTCTATAAGTCTGTTTCTGTTTTGCTTGTTTATTTTGTTATTTAGATTCCACATATAAGTGATATCATATGGTATTTGTCTTCCTCTGTTTGGCTTATTTCACTTAGCATAATACTCTCTAGCTTCATCCATGCTGTCATGTGGTAAGATTCCGTTCTTTTTTATGGCTGAGTGTGTGTGTATATGTATCTCACAACTTTTTTACCTACTCATCTCTTTTTTCTTTTACAGTTTAAAAACAAATCTTAGACAGCCTTACACTTCAATTTTTTTCTCTAAAAGGAGTGAGTTGTGTACAGGGGGGGTTAAATGCTTTATCGACAACAAAAAAAAAAAAACAACTGCACTAGAACCAATTTATTCATCATCATCATATTCTTCTTCATCTTTCTCCTTTTCATCCTCTTCATCTTCCTCCTCTTCCTTCTTTTTCTTGCTTTTTTCAGCCTTGACAACTCCCTTTGTTGCAGTGTCAGGCTTTCCTTTAGCTTGGTATGCACAATATCCTTTTCATATTTCTCCTTCAGCTTAGCAGCCTTATTTTCATAAAGCTGCTTGTCACCAGCAGCAGTGTGACTCCACATCTCTCCCAACTTCTTTGCAACATCACCAATGGATAGGCCGGGATGCTCTCCTTTGATTTTTGGGTGATACTCAGAACAAAAGAAGAAGAAGGCCAAAGGAGGCCTCTTGGGTGCATTGGGATCCTTGAACTTCTTTTTTGTTTCCCCTTTTGGAGGAATATAAGTTTTCATTTCTCTTTCATAATGGGCCTTGTCTGCCTTTGCTATGTCTTCAAATTTTCCTTTCTCTTTAGCAGACATAGTCTTCCACCTCTCTGAGCACTTCTTAGAAAACTCTGAGAAGTTGACTGAAGCATCTGGGTGCTTCTTCTTGTGCTCCTCCTGGCAAGTTTGCACAAAGAAAGCATATAATGACATTTTGCCTCTTGGCTTCTTAGAATCTCTTTTGTCTGTGTTTAATTACTTTTTCTCAGCAAGCACAGAGTTGCCCAGTGCCTGACCAGCTTGCAATTGCCCTGGTGCTGTCTCTATGGAGCTCAATGTACTGCAATGGCTGTGAGAGTGGGAGCCAGACTTACCTACTCATCTATTGATGGACACTTGGGTTGCTTCCCGTATCTTGGCTATTGTAAGTAATGCTGCAATGAACCCATGGGCGCATATATTCTTTCAAATTAGTGTTTAGGGTTTCTTCGCATATGTAGCCAGAAGTGGAATCTCTGGGTCATAAGGAAGTTCCATTTTTAATTTTTTGATGAGCCTTCACACTGTTTTCCACAGTGGCTGCACCAGTATATTCCCACAAACAGTGCACTAGGGTTCCCTTTTCTCCATACCCTTGCCAGCACTTGTTTGTTGATTTATTGCTGATAGCCATTCTGACAGGTGTGAGGTGGTGTCTCATTGTTGTTTTAATTTGCATTTCTCTGATGATTACTGATGTTGAGCAACTTTTCATATGTCTATTATGAATCTCTATGTCCGCTATGAAGTATCTCTTCAGGTCTTCTGCCCATTTTTTAATTGGATTTTTTTCTCGTGTTGAGTTGTCTGAATTCTTTATAAATTTTGGAGGTTATCCCCTTATCAACATGTATTATTGGTGAATACTTTCTCCCATTTAGTAGGTTGTCTTTTCATTTTGTTCATAATTTCAGATATTCTTAATCTCATTATAGGGATTGAGATAATTTGAAGCAGGATACAGTTCCTGGAAGAACTGTACTATTTCTTATTTATTCTTACTCCTTGGGTATAGAGCTAGGGGGTCTTGATCCAAACAGCTAGAAGTTTATCAGGGCTTCCCCTAATTTGTAGACCTTGAATTCTAACTTTCTTCTCCCTAGCTCCTCAAAACTATTAAAATCTTTTTTCATCAAGGTCCAATGATAGGGGAGTTGGTATGTCTACATTCTTATAAAAGGGTAGCCAACATGAAGGATCTTTGCAATGACGGAAATGTTCTGTATCTTGAGTGTGGTAGTGGTCACATTAATTTACACATAACAATTGCACAGAACACAGACACAAACACACACACACGTAAGTACATGTTAAAATGGTGAAGTCTGAGTAAAGTTAGTGGATAATGTCAATGTAAATTTCCCAGTTGTGATATTATAATGGGTAAAGATGGTTGATGGAGACATAGGGTTTCTCTCTATATTATTTCTTTTCTTATGTTGTTAAATATACATAATATTTACTATTTTAACTATTTTAGGTGTACAATTCAGTGGCATTCAGTACTTAACAATGTTGTACATCCATCACCATTATCCACTTCCAGAACTTTTTCATCATGGCAAACAGAAACTCTGTACCCATTAAATAACAGCTTCCTATTCCCCTCTCTCCCCAGCCCTTGGAAACCTCTATTCTACTTTCTGTTTCTAGCAATTTGCCTATTCCAGCTACCTCATGTAAGTGGAATCATACAAGATTTGTTCTTTTGTGTTTGGGTTAATTCATTTAGCATAGTCTTTTCAAGGTCATCCATGTTGTAATGTGTATCAGAACTGCATTCCTTTTAAAGGTTGAATAATGGAATATTA